TCAATCAAAAGTTACGATAATGTTTATCGTTTTATCTTGCATTTAAAAAATTAATTTCGACATTTTATATTGCTAAATTGAATTTTTCATACTTTTGTAGTGAAGAATTTATATTGTGAAAGATCCTAGCAAACATGGATTTGAGAGGCCTCTTTTATGTAAGTTTATGTAATGCAGGTCTGTATCACATGTTATTTGATATTGTCTAGTGTCCCAACTTGTACTGGATCAAGACTAAGACCGAAAGTATATAAGTTACTTGTGTCTGAGACCATAATAGAGCTTAGGCTACAATCTAATCTAAATACAGTGGCGGATTTAGGCATAGCTAACTTAGGCTATAGCCTTACTACAGCCTAAGTTAGCTATGCCTAAATCCGCCACTGTATTTATGATACAAGTTAAAAAATCCTGTTTATTAACAAAATATTATTTAATTTGTACCTTCATTAGAGAAAAAAACTTAGTATATTGATACGAAAACTTAAGATACCCGAAAACCAGTCAATAATTTAAAGTAAAAGATTATATTCTTGGCTAACAGAGGTACTCTGTAAATCAAAATACTTGAATTTTTAATATTATGTATGCTTATTTGTTATGTATACATATATATTACGCAATATATTATGTAGGCTATTCAATTTTTAATTGTTAATATTTCGTACATACGTATTTAAATGTCATCATATTGAAAATATATTTCACGATTTCCATTCATCTGAGAATTATAAAATGGATCGATTTAATAAATTTCTTTTTACAACATTCTATAATTTATTTTTCATTTTTTTTCTTATACGGAAAACGTTTAGAAAGTTTATTTTATGATCAGTAAACTGATAAAATAAACTTGATCAGTAGCCTGTAGCATAAATCTTCTCTTCCTTTCATTCTTATAAATCAATCAAATTTACTCCCATTTCCAAACAATTGAAAGCATAAATATGATGATAATACAGAAAACATATGTATTTTAGGTATTATATCTTATCAGCTTTAAGAAGGCAGCTTTTAAGCTATTATTTTATTTTTTGAAGCATTGCCATTGTTTATATAAACTTTCATGAATTTCTTTGATAAAAGTTATAGTAATTCTTAAATGATTTACGTAACTAAATTAAAATTTATTCTTTTTTAATTTAAATTAAAAAAAAATATTGAAAATTAAAGTAAAAGTTAAGGTAAACAGTAAAAAACTTTTACAAATATGACAAGAATTAAGAATGATGTTTGAGCTATGTTTATAAAAAAACAAACAGCAACGAGTTATTCAACTTTCCCGGCAACATTTTGTGGCGCCATCTGTTATGATGTTTTATTAAAAACCTTTTTATATTTTTAACTATTGTAAAATGGCAAAAATCTTAATTTTGAGAATAAGGGTGAGTTTTATAAAAAATTGTTAATGCTAATAACGAGTAAAATCGTCATTAAGTCCGACCCTACTCGAAATACACACGATCCCCTTTATCTCCCCACACCCTCGACCTTTAATCACCAAAATTTAATAACATCAATCCCCCTAATAAACAAACCTCTCTGTAAAATTTCAAACATTTTCGACAAAAAATACAGGATTTATTAAGCTTCAAAGAGGGTAAACAAATTCTTGCCCCCCACAAACTAACACCCACACATACAGAAAAACCCCTGAATTTTTTTGCATTTCTCGGCGTTTCAAGCCCCCTGAGTCCAAAACTGTAAAAATGTTGGTCATTTTTTGACCGATCGCTATACTTTCTCTGTTTATATAGGCCCTATAACAACCGGGAAATTAATAGGATAAATAAGAAAATTATGCGGAGAAATAATCAATTATTAAATGCAATCAAAATTAATATGAAAATATATAAAATATAACGTATATTTTTTTTATTAAATTGTCAAATCTTAATTTTATAAATTAATGATATTTTAGATTAAAAAGTTTATTCAAACAGGCATTAATTGGTAGTAAATTATTTCAAAATTTAAAATCTGATTTAATATATTTTAAAATATCAAAAATATATGATTAAGGAAGAATATATATTCATATGACAAGTCGTGCAATTCGACACGCAAAATGTGGTGGGAAGTTCAATAAGGAGAGAGGAAATTTGCTTTAAACATTCTTAAATCGTCTGAAAATAAATAGATCTTGTTATATGAATATAATAGCTTTTTCATTTATAAATGCAAGATATTTCATAAATATAGCAAATAGAACAATTGATCAGAAAGTAAACATCACTCCAAAATCAGATGTACCATATTAGAACATCTGAAAAACGTATCAATCACATCTTTTCTATAAATTTCCAGTGATAAAAGAAAAAAGTTGAAAGTTGGAATTGGGAAAATCGGAAATATGAATAGTTTGATGTAACAAAATCGGAAATAAGAATTTATTAGTTCTTAGAATAAATTAAATTTTAAAGTACAGTATTCTATTTTCCCTGAATCATTTAATGCATAGGTTTATAAACTAGGACCCGTAGACATCCAAGAAGTTTGCGAACAAGGATTTGAAAGTTATAACCTATCATTATTTTACTAACGTCTAATTAAAATTTAGCATTTTTTTCAATTAATTTAGTATTAGCCCACGAAAGGAAATTGCAGAAAATTTTCCAATCACATTAAAAACATTATTTTGTGAACGAATCCACGGGCTTCACCGCTGCCAAAGGAGTCCACAGCACAGAAAAACTTTAAGAACTTCTGACTTAATGAGATATTCTATTAACATATAATGAACGCTTAAAAATATTTAACATTCATTTCTGAAATGTAGCAACATTACAAGAAAGTTTGTATTTAGAACCCTTCAGTATGTAATTTGCAATTAAAACTGTTCATTGTTTTTGTAAAAATGGCGTCTGATGAGTGAACATAAATTTTTACATCTTTTAATATATTTATTATTATTTTAAATTAAAATTTTATATTAGAAAGAAATTTCGCTTATGAATAAGAGTATAGACTACCTGTAGTAATTATAATTTACTTCATAATAATAAAGATACTATCATAATCGAGATGTATCAATATCGTTATGATAATTATTTTTACAAGCTGTATCAATCTTATTGTATTTTAACAAGTAAATTTTGTTTTATAAACACTTATCTTCAAGTAGACTTCAACTTCTTTGACACTCTTGTCCACTTTCCTTCTTGACAATATTTGCTAATGTAATTCTACCAGTAAATAAGTAGTACCACTTGAATAAAATCCAGTATTTCTAGTATTTACAATTACTCATAAAACTTCACTATTTCTTTTTTTTATCTTTTTTTTTACACAATCTTTACAAAATTCATTGAGCTAATAAATTTCCTGTTTATTTGACTTAACTCATATATCATGCGGAGATTCATTTAAGCTTCACTATTTGTTAAATATTTCCTTTCTGTAAAGACTATTTTTCGTTATCTTTCTTTACTGAAGAAGAATTTGTACCAATTCAACTGTAGTTTTGAAAATATTTATTTTAATTTTCCATTTTCTCTATTTATTTTTCTTCTTTTTTACTAGGCAATTTCAAAATTTAAGATATTTGTTAATATTTAAAGCTTGCTTAAAGGAACACATCTAACTTATAATTATGTATTTATTCTGTTTAAGTATAGACAAATTGTTCTTTTAAATTCGACAGTTTAGAATTATATCTTATTGAGAAATTTAGTATTATTCCTGTTCTGTTGGAAGGATGATTAACGTATTGCATATAGGCTTACCAGGCGTTTTTCTTAGTCTAGATCTAACCTTAAATAAATTCGTGAGAGAATATCGTGAGATAAGAAAGTATCCAATGAATAATAATCGCTAATTGCTGTTATGTAATATAGATATTTAATAATTTTCTTATCTTTGCACGTTTTTTTTCAGAACCTTTTATGGTTTTGCGACAATCGTGTCAAGAAGATTCAACGTACTGTACAATTACAAATAATCTTCTGATCAAATTACTCTTTAAATGTTATAAACAGAAACACTATTTTCTCCATTTCAGTATTTAAAATGTTTTATTTATTAAGAGAATTTATAAAGTTAATTTTATATAGTTATAAATCACTTTAAANTAAAAATAATTTAATATGTGAAAGTAATTTATATCTGATACACATAAAATATAAATAATTTATTAAAATTAACTTATTAAAAATGTTTTATACGAAAATAGAAAGTTAAAAACATCATCGGTATATGTGCCGCCATCTAGTATTAAAATCCTTATTCATTTTTAATAGTAAGTTAATGCTTTTTTTTTGAAAATTGATTATTTAAAATATAAATTGTTTCCAATTGAAATATATTTTAATAAAATGTTTAATTTTTTGAAAAATTATTAATTCGAATGCGTAAGTCGAAAATGTTTCCCGTACTTATTAATTTCAAACGTCCGATTATAATTAAATGGACGAATCAGAAATTATTTACTGTAGATAAAGATTTATTATGTAATTTTTGACTGGTTGGCTAATCGAGCCGTATATTAGTTCGCTAACGAATAATTTTAAAATCTCGAGAGAAACGCCGTAACTAATGCACATATACGTAGAGCGCAATTAGAGAAAACTTTCTCAATTCTGATAAAATATGTAAAAATGGCAAAAGTTAAAAAGATATAAAATATGTATAAACGTTTAAATCTTATACCTACGGTAGTAATTATTTTGTTAATAAAATCAATAATAAACAAATAAATAAACAATGGTAGAATTATTTTGAAATTTAAAATGTCTATCAAGTGACGCAATTCCGTTACATGTAAATCTACCCCTGGTGATAATAGCTCGAACTAAAATGTTGATTGTTTTTAACTTTACAAAATTGGTTACATTTTTTTATTATAGAAAATTAAAATAAATCTATGAATTTTCTACGTTTGACATTAAAACGGATTAATTGAATCAATTTATAGAGATTAAACTCTATTCGTTTAATTTAATGACTTTTAAATAATAAACGCGCCATTGCTTATTTGGTATTTTAAATTAAGCAGCGTGCTGCCGTTAATAAAACATGAAGCGCTTTAGCGAATCGCTTAAAAAACCTCGCGTTTTAAATCAGTTACTAACGGATGCAACGTCACCGGCGTGTGACGTCACATCCTGCAGCTGTAACATCTTCGACAAAATGCTTGTTCTTTCGGCGTAATACGTGCAAATTGAATCGGTATCGGACGCCGACGACGACACCTTCCGACGAATTTGTAATTCTCGCTCGGAACAATGGCGATAAAAAGAATAGAGAAGGTAAAACGAGAAGATTACAGTCACCATTAAAGCGATTTTCATCAGCGAATTGCGGCGCTTTTCCACAGAAACGTGTGATCTCTCGTTACCATAGAAACACACCCTCTATAAAAAAAGCATAACAGACGAGAGCGCACTTTGTCGGACGGAACTCGCCCGACCGGGATGAAAGCGAACGAAAGGTGGCGCTGCCGTTAACAGATAAGATTTTTAGGTTAAATAGTGTCGGACAAAGCGCGCATCCCTCTACAAATTATCTACAAAGTTAAAAAAATCGAGTATAAACTCGCGGAACGGAGCTCCTTTCCGGGACGACCTTCGTCTTTGTGGTGTGGCCGTCCTCTCCGCCGTTCGTCTCCCTCCCATTAGTACGCATGCTCCGTGGCGAATAGCCTTTGCGAACTGACGAAACTCGGTTGCTGTCGGCCAGCGTTGGTGTTAAGAAGGACCGAAAATAAGCGTTTTCGACTGACTATGGCAGATTCCAAATACAAGACTGCAATATTGGACGCTATCGACCAGTTGAGACAGCGCAAAGCACGTCCTGACCTGGAAAGGATATGTCACATGTTACAGCGTCGCCACGGTCTGAATTCATCAATCGTCCAGACCGAACTGGAAAAGTTAATCGATGCAGATATCGTGATCAAAGTTGACTATAAAGGCAACACTAGTTACAGGAACGCAGCGAAATGGACTAAAGGAAGAAATAAAGAAGCGGCGCTCAAGTCGGAAGCCAAGACTTGTCTTCTTTCCACCAAATACTGCACGTTACCTTATCAACAACAGCAGACGACGGTGTTACTAAAACAGCGCATTCGTGCTGGTCCGGGTCGGCCACCGAGGACGGCAATTTCGTCGTTGAAACAGGCGCAGAGTAAAAGAGGGAGGCCTCCCAGCAAGCGAAAGGTGGGTTGTCTTCTACCCAAATTCGAATTAAAAAAACGTGCGCCACATTGCCCACCCGACGTTTTTTTCCCCTCCATTCACTTGGCGCAGGTTCGCGCGTCGCCTTTTTTTTTCCTTTTTTTTGCGTTTGTCGGAACAACGGCACGGTGACGTCGATAACTCTCTCGGCATCCATTTCCGAATCTTAACGCCGCGGAAAAAGCGCGCTCTGCCCTTTTCCGACGTTGTTAAGATCCGTCAATGTGACCATCGCCGTTGCCGTTTTCGGATGGATTTATTATTTTTTTTTCTCGTTGCCAACTTTATTAAAGGTCAATGGATGGAACGCGTGCCCAATCTCTCTATCTCGACCAATTGCTTTGATCGAAACAAAGGAAGCGGCCGTGGATTGCGCGTCTAGCTTCCGGTTGTCGATATTTGTCTGGTGGCGCCCCTTAATGAATAGAAAGTGAAACCGAGAATCGGCTTTGCTCCCGACATTTTAAACCGAGAACGGCAAAACACACCATTTCCGCTTCGTCCCGAACCTATGTAGCGTATAACGTACTTCTGACGTCCTGTAAAGGAAACGCTTCTGGGCTCGTAGCGATTATAATAAACTTTGAAACTCCGAAAAAATCTTCCGAAAATAATTGATTAAATGTCAATCCGTATTAAAGATAATCCCGCGACTGTTACATTTAACAGCGTCGGAAAACGAGCGGGACCGTAAAGCGCAGGGCGCCTTCCCTTTTGTGAACTTCTATCGCTCAAGGCCGGTCCAGCCGATGGCTATTCTTCCTCTCGCTTGATTCAAATACTAAAAATAGTACGGAAATATGATTTAAATCCCACTAAACGCTTTTTTTCATCCCGTTTTCTCCTATTGGCCAATCGGGATAAGATGTCGATGCGCTTTTTAAACCGTTTAATTTCTGTAATAGATTACCGCTGTTTACTTTACTGTAATTACATTTCCGATACGAAAAAATAAAAAAAATTCAAATTTAAATACGAGCCGCGTGACGTCACTATTAAAATCTCGACGACGTAACACCGTATTAAGCGGCTATCGCATAATTCGTTTCGAAAGAACGACTCGGGAAATAAAATTTAAAAGGATTTTCTGAAGTAAAAATCCGAGGAAAGTTAAAACCGATATATAATAATAAATCGATCTTATTTAGAATTAAAAATTTCATGGAAATTAGCTGAATTTTTGTTATTTTTGCAATTAATTAAATATCTATAGTATAACTTTTAAGAAACTTGTGTTTATTTTATTATTTTTATCGGAATTTTCATTAAAGACGAATAATTTGCGCTCTGTCGAAAAAATCAATGTTGTATTACGCATTTATACTCCCGCCGCATGACGTCATTGCAATGGACGGAAAATCGTCTGCGTACGTAATTTAGAAATTTAATTGATCAATCCAGAATTTTCTTAAAATTGTTTTTAAGATAAATAATAATAAAAATATTATCGTGATATTTGAGGATTACTAAATACATTCTCGACACGTAAAGGTGCGAGTTTTTGTGATCACGTGATGACTTATTCGAAAATTTAAATTTGTAAGACAATCGTCTCGGACGGACGTTTTAATCGCTAATTAAATTATTTGTATCAGTATGGAAATATTTTAAGCTCAATTAGACAAGTGGATTTTTTCCGATCAATGATTTTAAGCATAGGCCTATAAGTAATAGTTTATGCCCCGTTTATGTCCAATAATCGATACTGTTTAGTGAAAACGGATTTAGGACCATTTTCTGTTTGTAAACTTTCAGTTTTTCGCTTAGTTTTTTCGAATAAAATTAATAAGTTCGCTTACATATCGAATATGGATAATATTTCTCTTCTGCAATATCAATATTTTTGATATTTCAATGAAATAAATTAAAATTTTCTAATACAACGTCACAGTTGGACTTCTAAATAGGATTATACTTAAACTTAATTTCGAATAAAAATATTGCGAGAAATTCCGTTAGTCTTTTTTTTTTTTAATGTTAAATAGTGCAACATTGTGGGTGCAACCTAACAAATTTTTCTTGAGAAAAATATTTCTATGCTAGCAATAATTAGAATTTTTAATCCATAATTTATTGCAGTTCTAGAAATCAATTATAAATTAAACTAATTAGTAAAATTTTTTGACATTTGTGTCTCATTGAAAATAAAATTGTCTGACTTCTAGCAATTAAAATCTTTAGATGCGGCTTTATTTCGCATCAACTATATGGCATATTTAGAACAGTATTTTAATTTTAGTGACCAAAGCTTAATTATTATCAATGATAACCAGTCTTAAAGTTGATATAAGATTTCTCTATTTGCAAATTATTATTATAATTTATAAAATGGATTAATTTTACGCCTCCCGCTCCAAGTGTAGTGGACTGCTATTTACTTTTTTATTTGCTAATTAGATATTAAGACATTTCCAAAGACTGTTTTTGATTTTTCCTTTAATTTTTAATATGTTATAAATTATATTCTCTCCTTATAAAGAATATGCGTTTTTGGTTAATAAGTAACTTTTAAAATTATGTACAAAATGTCCTGTAAACCATAAGTGATGATTTATATTAAATCGTATAATTTAGTTACACTTTTTCATTAAGAAAAATTCAGAAATCTTGATATAAATCATTTTAGATTTATTAATTTTACGTCTTATTTATTTCTTCAGAAAAGGATTTAAATTTTTATTTTCTCTTTTCCTGTTTTCATTTCTTAATCTATTCAAAGAAAAAATTTATTTTAATAGGATTATCAATCTTGATATTTTTGATAGAAAATATAATTCGAAAATGTACGATACAAATCTTACGCAAAATATTTAGAACGAACTTAAACGTTTTCTATAAATAATAAATGTTTGATGTTTAGGATGAGCTTGTTAATGTAAGATTGAAGATTTGGCTTTATTATCTGTTACTTTCTATACCAAAACTGACTTACAGTGACAATGTTCAGGAATTAAGTTCGTATCCATTTGCAGTCTTCTGAAACTCAGAGCAATTACTGTATAAAATAGTTGATGAATTTTAATAAAAAAAAAAAAAAAAGATCGTAAAATAAAATAGGAGCATTTTCCAGTAGGTTAATGGATTCTGAATATTTAACGTTTACTTTAAGTGTCACTGTTTCTAGCAAAGAATAATTAGCTTACAGTATTAATATAAAATTCTCGCTTCTCAAAAAATAAACATATAAGTGTTTGTACAGTTTAAATTCTTATTGTAAAAATTTATTTTTTTAGCATCGGTTGTGTCTAAATTATTTAAACCATATTTACATTTTTTCAGTTAATGTAAATTTAGTTAAACTTCGATATAGCGTCTTCCAAAATAGCACCAATGAATACTTGTAAACAGACCTTTCCCATAAATATTAGAGATCCGTTCAGTATCTGTGAAATGTGATGCATTGCATGATTTTTGCATTGCAAACGACATTTTTATTATCGGATCACGCGACTTTCAAACGCCCAAACTAAAACTTGTGTGTCGTTCTTATATAATTCTTATTATTTGAGGTACCGGTACTTCTGTTTAGCGCCACAGTAGATTTAGTGCCAGTTTCAGACGCAAACAAATGGTGGCGCTAAATCAAAGTTTGACTCTAGTTTAAAAAAATAATTTACGTCCGAAATATAAAAAGTTTAAAAGTTTTATATTTTTTAAATATATTAATGAATTATTAACATACACATTTTTAAATTAAAGCAAATAATATAAATTAATTTGAATTTGAGAAAAGCGATAAATACTAGTTTTCCATTGATTTATGGAGGATGATCTTTCTGCTCTTTCTGATACTGCCATCTATCGGTCGCAAAATAGACTAATTGGATATTTTTAAATTTTGTTTACTGTATTAAAATTTTAATTTCAAAAAATACTTCGCAATAAAAGAATTAATATTTTAAATTGTGAAATCAAATAAAATATACAATAAATAGAGAAAATGAAATTATTCAATAGAATTAATAAAATTTTATTTTAAAGCGTTTTGTTTACGGTATAAAGTTTTAAAATAATTTGAATATATAATTGAATTATACACACACACAAAAAACTCAGTTTTGCTTAATAAGCGTTACTTGACGTTAAATTATAATCTATTTATACTGGTGACAGTATTTGATCTTGTAGGAGAGAATTTTATATCCCATGGGAAGTCTTTTCATCACCATTCTGTAATTTTATTGAATTCTTTCACATCAGTATAATATTTAGAATAATTTTTCTCCAGTTATCTCGTAATGAATGTTTTAGATAATTGTGATTTAAAAGTTTTCGGTATAAATTACAAAGATATCGATACAAATATACAAATGTTAGAAATTACAGATACAGAGATACAAATTAATACTTTCTGAATTAGAATTACATAATTTTCTGGCTATTTATTCATTTTTTAATTTTTTTTACGAAAATAAAAAATGAATTACGTAAATAACAGCTTTAGGTAAATATCCGAGGAATGTAAATTGTAATTTTCACAGTAATAGAATTTAAATGTACTAATAGTATCCATTATAAGTGCCGTTTTATAAACATTTCAAATAAAAACAAGATCTTTGAAGTTCTCATATATGAAATTATTTTAAGTTGGATTTCCATATTACAACTTTTTTAAAGAAATTATATCATAACTTTAAGTTAAAATTGACATAGAAAATAGAATTTGATTTCTTTAATACAAATTAATCTTAAGTCTTCAATGGCTTTCGCTCATCGTTCATAAAAAATTGTGAAAATATTTTTTAATATTATATATTTTGTTGAAATTAAAAAGTTCACTTTAATATTTTGAGGGCTAAACCAATACTTTTATTAGTATTTTCAGTAATTTTTAAGACAAAAGACCATTGTTGTGTGCCACGTATCCAACCATTATCGTAGAGATTCGGTTAAGGGCAGATCTATTCATTATTAGAATATTCGGAAGTGTATTAATCGCACTATTCTATTGTAATAAAATAAAAAATAGAAACGTGCATTCT